AGACAGACAGACACAGAGAGACAGACAAACACAGACCATTAAACAGACAGACAGACACAGACAGACAGACAGACAGACACAGACAGACAGACACCATTTGAATATGTAATAGCACGGGGGATAATTTGCCGATAGATCAAACTTACAACAGGAAGAAACAAGAAGGAAACTCTTAAAGACAATGGTTGATTTCCCCCGTGTGTCATTCCTTCCCCTCCTCCACCCCTCTTCTTCTCCTCTCCTCCATCTCTCCTTCTACCCTCTTCTGTTCCCCTCCTCTTCCTTCGTCCTTCTCCCCTTCATTTTTACCCCCCAGCCTCTTCTGTATTCCTCCATCCCTTCCCCTCTCCTTCTCTTCTTCCTTTTTACCCTCCATCCTCCTTCCCTTCCTCCTTCCTCTTCTCCTTCCCCCTACTCCTATCTCCTCTCCCTCCTCTTATTCCCTCCTCCTTAGAGAGAGAGAGAGAGAGAGAGAGAGAGAGAGAGAGAGAGAGAGAGAGAGAGAGAGAGAGAGAGAGAGGCACAAACAACCTCATCAGCGCCACATATCTTGAAGGGAAAAACGCCATTAAAATTCACTAAAACCTTACCATCCCACAGCACATTATCTCATCCACACTCAGACACACACACGCAAAATGAGACATGCACAATCAGACACACACAGAGAGAGAGAGAGAGAGAGAGAGAGAGAGAGAGAGATAATCAGACCTCATTAGTAGCCCTATTCAGGCCCTCTGAGGAAAAGGGGCAGCCCCCAAAATGCTTCATATTAACTCCCCCATACCAGGACAGGTCACACAGACAGACAGACAAAATTAGAGTATAATCCACCTCATTACAAAGCTCCACTGAAGCGACATCATAAAAGAAATACCATCCCATCCCATCCCGTCAAATCCCACAGCATACTACCCCATCCCATCCACCCTATCCCACCCCATCCCATCCACCCTATACCATTCCATCCCACCCCTTCCCACTCCCCCATCCCATTCTACAAAATTACCTGGGGGGGGGGGTCCGTCTCACCCCCTCCCCCCCCAAACCTGGAGACATAACAAAAGACTCTCTACTGTACTGTTCCCGAGTCAGCCCAGGTGAATGATGATGATGATGATGATGATGAAGATGATGATGATGATGATGATGATGATGACAATGATGATGATGATGATGACGATAATAAACAACAATTAAAAAGCAACACTAACAACAAAGCCAATAACACCACCACCACTACAAATATACACCTTAAAGACGCAATTCAAAGCCCTCACCATCAGTGGTCCTCTTAATAGGATTTTCTTTTTCAGGTGAGGAGGATCAAGTCTAAGAGGCTAATCCACCCCATTTAGCCTCGACGCCCCACACGGCTAATTTGGAGGAGGAGGAGGGGGAGGAGGGGTAGGGCTAAAGATTTGGCAGGAGGGTAGGGGAAGGGGAGTAGGGGAGGGTTAGGAGATGAGGAGGAGGGCTGAGGTAGATGTGGCAGGAGGGGTAGGAAGGAGGGTAGGGGAGGTTAGGTGATGAGGAGGGGAGGCTGAGGTAGATGTAGCAGGAGGTGGTAGGGGGAAGGGGGAGTGCTTGGCAGGGAGGGGTGGTAGGGAGGAAGGGGAGGGGGCAGGGGAAGGGGGGGTGAGTCTTATCATGCTGGGCCGTTTTGTGTCTGGGGTTAAGATTAATCCTTGAGGTGTCTGTCTGTCTTTCTATTTTTCACAAAAACACATACGAGAATTTATATATATACATATACTATCAAGAACACCAACGGCACATTTACGTAATACATTGATATGAAAGGCAATTTAGTTCACTGGCCCACCGTATTTTACAGCAGGGCGGCCCAACATCCCGCCGCCCCCCCCAAGTATTTTCTTCGGAGCGGCTGTGAAAGCGTTAGAGAGGCGCACCATTGTCTGTATAATCCCATTAGTGTTAAATTGAAAGGAACTCGCATTAAAAGGCCTCGGGTAAATTTTCTCTTGTGTGTAAATATTATTTTATGTAGTAGTCTATTTCTTTCTGTTTTCGTATGAGATGCCCAAGTGGAGGCGCCTGCTTGTGTTGTGTGTGTGTGTGTGTGTGTGTGTTGAAGTGTGTGTGTTGTGTGTGTGTGTGTGTGTGTGTGTTGTGTGCGTGTGTGTGTGTGTGTGTGTGTGTGTGTGTGTGTGTGTGTGTGTGTGTGTGTGTGTGTGTGTGTGTGTGTCTGTGTGTGTCTGTATGTGTGTTAATAATAATAGAAATAATAATAAACGGTTTATTGAAAGAACATGGCAGGCGAAAGGCTGAAAATATACAGTTACATAATTGGGGAATGGGTTTCTTGATTTACAAATAATATACAAGTAACATAAGTGATGCAAATATGATATATAAAAACTAGGGGGTGGTGGGGAGAAGGTCATACTGCAAGGCATTTCAACATAGTGACAGTGCAAAAAATAAGATTGACTGGGAGTGAATACACTGGTTGATTACAAGTTATTGATAATATTTACAATGGTTGGGACTGGGCTGTTCTTATAGCGGTCAGTTCGTGCACGTATGGGCTGGATGCGGTGTGGTGTCGAACAGCAATTCTTGGGCGAGGGATCTCAGGTGGTAGTAGGAGCCGGTGTCGAGGATGGTGCAGAAGCTTCTCACCAAATTTAAAGACGAGGTCGTGGTGATGGTCAGTGAGAGCCGAGAGGGTCAGTGCATTGAGCGCTTCTTGATATGTGGAGTAGGAAGGGGAGAGAATAATCTTGCATGCCCTCTTTTGCACTTTTTCTAGGTGTTTACGTTGTGTGGCATTTAGGGAGGAAGACCAGGTAGGGGAGGCATAGGTGAGCTTGGGAAGTATGAATGTTGAGTAAACACTGAGGAGCTCGGGTGCAGGAACTCCGAGGGACTTGAGTCGGCGCAGGAGGTGGAGACGGAAACTAGAGGATTTGACAACTTCACTGACGTGTGGTTTCCAATTAAGTTTGTTGTCTATGGTGAGGCTGAGGAGCTTAGTGGAATCTACAACCTGGAGTGTGTTGGGACCTAAAGTAATGGAAGGGGGTGGGACAACGTCGGAGGAGAGGTTGATGTGCATAACCATGGTCTTGGTATGGTTGATGGTGACGTGGTTGTTGGTAGCCCAGTTTTGGAGACTGTTCAATAAATCCTGAAGGGCGGTATAGTCGGGAACAGAATTGTTGATGCTGATCCCAATGGTGGAGTCGTCGACATATTTCCAGCGAGCCGGGGTTTCTCTTAGGGCATCATTGATAAGCATAAGGAAGCAGAGTGGTCCCATCTTGGTGCCTTGGGGGACGCCACAGGTGTGTGACAAAGGTGGAGACAGCCCCTCGGAAGCGTACAGCTTGGCGTCGGTTACTGAGGAAATCTGTAAGCCATGGTATAAGACTTCTTCGAAACCCGAGGTCGATAGCTTTATTGATGATTAAATTGTGGTCGACTAGGTCGAATGCCTTAGTGAAATCAATGAAGCGACAGCAACAGACGTTTTTCGTTTCTCCAGATGGCGGTATATGTAGTCGAGAAAGCTGACAAGACAGTGAGTGGTGGAGGAAGTTTTCATATTTCCATTCGCTGAGGATCTACGGCTACTGCAATATCAGCATAAGCCCAGTCGAACACAAAACTTTCACAGATTAAGCTGGGTATTGGGGTGATTGCAATAGGTCGTAGCTGATTTAAGGGTTGTGGGCTGGTTAACTTGGACACTGGTGATACATAGGAAGTCTTCCAGTCAGCTGGGTATCTGGCTTGACTGAGGGAAGCATTGATGATGGAGCAGAGGGGTTTAGCAAGCTCCGGGGAGAACTCCTTGAAGAGTTTCATTGGTAAGTCAATGGGGGTGGTGGCGCGTTTTAACTTCAAATTCTTTACTAAGTCAGTGGGAAAGGGGGCTGGTAGGTAAGCAGGGAGAGTGGTTGTGTCAATCCAGGGGAGCGTCTGGCGTGTGTGTGTGTGTGTGTGTGTGTGGGTGTGTGTGTGTGTGTGTGTGTGTGTGTGTCTGCATAAACATCCAGCTTAGAGCGGAGGAGAGAGAAAATGAGAGGATGGAATTTTATTAGAGGTTATAAAGGTTGGTTGGTTAGAGAGAGAGTTATACAAAGCCATCATCATGAGAATATTTTAGGTACGTTTGAACTTTCGTGGTAAAGGAGTGAAAGAGAAAGAGAAAGAGAGAGAGAAAAGAGAAAGAAAGATAGAAAGTGAGAGAGAGAAAAAAAAAGAACTTTACAATAAGGCATAAAAGATAAGTGTACATTTAATATATTTTTAAAATTATTTAAAAAAAAAGAATAATTAGCTAATACTCTAGCTTAAATAAAGGTAAAGTGACAGAGTGGATAGAACGCTCGCACCCCGTCCTAACAGTAGCTTGGTTCAATCCCACTTCACTACCAGTCCACCCACACCACCTTACTCTACAGCTGAGGAAGTGAAGGAGGTCAAGTGCCGTGCCTTGCCTATAGTTAAGGTTTAATAAACAGTGTAATTATATATAACGTGTCACTAACAGGTCATAACTAACATACAATTTTATTCATTAACACTTAAAAGGTCCACAACGACTATTGAATTTAGTGTTGGTTTAAATAGACAACATTTAGTCGTAACAATTGAGAGATAAAAATAAATATATATTGTAATGTGTTGTATGATAATGGTGACGTTAGTCCTAAAACACTACAGACTTTGGGCTATAATTACTGTGTGTGTGTGTGTGTGTGTGTTAATCAGTGTACGTGAATGGTGCAGTTTATGATAATTCACTTAAAATCATCCCTCGTTATCTTAACCTAACCTAACCTAACCTAACCTAACCTAACCTAATCTAACCTAATCTAACCTAACCTAACCTAACCTAACCTAACCTAACCTAATCTAACCTAACATATAATGGGTAAAATAAAAGTGGGTAAGGTACGATTAGATTAGATTAGTAATGACCTGTATACACTTGTCATTTGTGTCAGGTTTATACACACAAATGCCCCATGTCCAACTGTCCCATGTCCAACTGCCCCATGTCCAACTGTCCCATGTCCAACTGCCCCATGTCCAACTGCCCCATGTCCAACTGTCCCATGTCCAACTGTCCCATGTCCAACTGTCCCCATAATCCCAACTGTCCCATGTCCAGCTGTCCCATGTCCAACTGCTGTCCAACTGTCCCATGTGCCCCATGTCCCAACTGTCCCAACTGTCCATGTCCATGTCATGCCCCATGTCCAACTGTCCCATGTCCCAGTGCCCCATGTCCATGTCCCATGTCCAACTGTCCCATGTCCAACTGTCCCGTGTCCAAATGTCCCATGTCCAAATCCCATGTCCTGCCCCATGCGTCCCATGTCCAACTGTCCCATGTCCAATGCCCCATGTCCAACTGTCCCATCCCATGTCCCAAGCTGTCCCATGTCCAAATGCCCCATGTCCAACTGTCCCGTGTCCAACTGCTGTCCCATGCCCCCATGTCAACTGTCCCATGTCCAATACATCAGGCCGAGTATTGCAAATATGAAAACTATAACCACATTTATGTTGCATCGTAATTTTCCCCAATAGAGAGATTTAAATATACAGTATATCCGGAAAAACAGAGATATACCAAAAGGACAGACAGACAGAATACACCACCAAACAAACAGTAAAACATTAACACAAGTTCTAATTCCTTATCAATAAAACAGAGCAAAAAAATCCCCCCCAAAAAAACACAAAATAAAACACCATCGCCCACAAACTCAATCTCGTGTTTGTGTATAAAATAATATGAAGTGTTTTAACCTACTCATTATACTGTGTGTTTATATTACGGCTCGAGTGTTTGGTGAATTATTGTCCGTGTGTTTGTTTATACGAGGAAGTCGTCATTAAAACACACAGAAAAAACGTGTGTGTGTGTGTGTGTGTGTGTGTGTTACAGAAATAGTTGAGTTTTCTCTTTTTTGTAGGGTGGATGATTTAGTTTATGTATGTATGTATGTATGTATGTATGTATGAGAATTATACAAAAACTATCCGGGTGAAGAAAAACTAATGGTCGGAAAGAGGAGGCTCAACCCCCCCCCCCTCGAGAACGCCTCTGTAACTTGGCCCAACTTGACGCCAAGTTAAATCGAGTTGTCGTCTTCATCAAAAAATAAATACAAATAAATAAAAAATAAATAAACTCCGTAGAAATGCGTAAGACAGTTTTGCGTCTCTTTTGTCTTCATGTTTCGTTAAGGGTCTTGCGTATGCTGATTTATACGCCGGGAAAACCTAACCAGAGAACGTTGTTAGAGAATAATATTATGCCGGCGTTCTAGAGTTTCTGGATTTCACCGCTAGGGGGTTAATGCGCACAAAACTTGGCGCTGCTGTCGTATTAATCACTCTCCTGGATCACGTTTTTCCAAGAAAGTTCTGAAGAAAAAATAAATAACTCGAACTGATATTGAGTGTTGCCAACTTGAAAGGCCGTTATTATTGTCGTGGAAACTTGTGGACTTTCCGGCCAGGTTGGAAAAGTAAACAAAATTGGCGCTAGTGTCGCATTAATCACGTTCATGGATCAAGTGGCTTTTAGAATCATAATAAAACTCAAATAAAAACTCAAGTAAACTGACAGAGTGTCGTAGTTATGAGCAGCCATTGTTGTTGTCATAGGAGTTTCCAAGTTTCACCCTGCGACTCTTACCTCCATTAATCATTCTCTCAGCTCAAAACTCATCAGAATTATGCCTAACCGCTGTGAGGAACCAATTGATTTGTCTAACTATAACATCATATGTTTGTTTGTGCTTCTCGGAGAATTTAAGCCATAAACGATCTATATTATCATTTACTTCAGATACGGAGGAAAATATTGAATGGAAAGCAAAAAAAAAAAAATAAATAAATGAAAATAAATAAAAAACAGTAGTATGTATGTATAAGTTACCTGCTTCAGTGTGTCATACATGATGGCCCTCGATAACTGCTCTCACAATTCATTATACAAAGACGAAATGGTGAATAAATCTGTCTTCCTCAACGGAGTGAAATCAGGAGGTATTGTTATTATGCCATTTATATCTGGTTGTATGTTTATCTGTTTCTTGTTAATTGTGCGCGTGTGTGTGTGTGTGTGTGCGTGTGTGTGTGTGTGAGTGTGTGTGTGTGTGTGTTCTCGTTAATAAAAACCACGCCTCCCCCACGCCTACCGGTCCTCCCTCACATTACACACGCCCACCACGAATCTCTTTTCACTCAAGATCTTCCTAATGAGAGAGAGAGAGAGAGAGAGAGAGAGAGAGAGAGAGAGAGAGAGAGAGAGATTACACTTCTTCTAACCACCAAGTTTCTTTATCGTCTACCTCCTCCTCTTCGTTCTCCTTCCTCCTCCACCTCCTCCTTTCTCCCCAACACCTCGTCTCCTCTATCTCTACTTCCTCTCCTCCTCTATCTCTACTTCCTCTCCTCCTCTATCTCTACTTCCTCTCCTCCTCTATCTCTACTTCCTCTCCTCCTCTATCTCTACTTCCTCTCCTCCTCTATCTCTACTCCTCCTCTATCTCTACTCCTCCTCTATCTCTACTTCCTCTACCTCCTCTATCTCTACTCCTCCTCTATCTCTACTTCCTACTCCTCCTCTATCTCTACTTCCTCTACCTCCTCCTTCTCCTTCCTTCAGCACCTCTGGCCACCATTGTTCGTGGGACTAATTGCTCTCGTTAAGAAAATCTCGGCAGCATAATACAGCTGTGTCGCGCTCCCAGGTAAAAACCCTCTCCCATGAATTAGTCAAACCCGGGAGCCAATGTACCCCACCCGCGTCTCCTGGTCGCTAATGGTCAGGTCAGGTCACGAGTGCCACCAGGGTCACAGGGATGCCAACACATTGCTGCCAATGGGGTCACAGAGAGGTCAACACAGTGCTGCCAACAGGGTCAACAGAGTCTACTGAGAGCTGCCAACAGTGTCAGAGAAAGGTCAACACCGTGCTGCCAACAGGGGTCCAACAGAGTGCAACAGAGTCAATAGGGTCAACAGAGAGCTAACAGAATCAGAGGAAGGTTAACAGAGTGCTGTCAACAGAGTGCCAACAGGGTCAGAGGAAGGTCAATAGAGTGCCAACAGGGTCAGAGGAAGGTCAACAGAGTGCCAACAGGGTCAGAGGAAGGTCAACAGAGTGCCAAAGGGTCAACAGAGTGTCTATAGGGTCAGAGAGGGGGTAACAAGTCAATTTAGGTCAAAAGAGTTAGGCCAGAGGGCGAGATGGGTCAGGTCAGTTTGTTTCTCTACCTATCTATCTATCTATCTATCTATCTATCTATCTATCTATCTATCTATCTATCCACTCAAATATCGATCTATCTGTCTCTATCCTTCTATCTATCTATCTAAAATTAATTAAAAAAGTATATGAACATAAAAATAATTAAAAAAAACAGTATTTGAAATTTTTTTATAAAAAAATAAGTTGAAGAAATGAAAGCAATATTATCGTTCAGGAGGAAGATGATTCGCTCCCACGGACACATAACATTAGGGGAACATTGTCAGACATGCAGATGACACGACCTAAGCGACGAATAAAAACAAAAAAATGAAAAAAAACTAATTAAATTCCTTAAAAAACAACTGATTGAATGGGATGTTTGTTTCTTTCTCTCTTTCTCGGTCAAATGTGACAAAAGGAATGAATTGTGACCTCAGGCTTGGATTCTCAATAGAGGCGATGTATATATATATATATATATATATATATATATATATATATATATATATATATATATATATATATATATATACATCGCAAAACCACAGGAAGATCTAAAAAAAAATTTCGAATGGTCTGAAAAATGGCAGATGAAATTTAACATGGACAAATGTAAAGTACTCAGTATAGGAGACGTAAACAGGGAAACCAGATACCAGATGAACAACGATGCCATAGAGAAATCCACCTGCAAGATAGATTTAGGAGTAATGATAAGTAGGAATCTTAAGCCAAGTAAACAATGTGTTTTTGCTCGTAACAAGGCTAGTAAAGTACTTGGGCTCATACAAAGGAGTGTTAGTTACAAGACTAGCGAGGTCATCTTAAGATTATATCTTGCGCTTGTGAGACCTCACTTGGATTACGCAGTTCAGTTCTGGTCACCGTATTACAGAATGGATATAGAATCCTTGGAAAGAATCCAGAGGAGAATGACAAGACTAATCCTGGGCATTAGGAACCTTGAGTACAGAGACAGGTTAAAGCATCTTAATTTGCACTCCCTCGAGAGACGTAGAGCGAGGGGCGACATGATAGAGGTGTATAAATGGAAGTCAGGGCTAAACAAAGGGGACATTACAAAGGTACTCAAACTATCCAACCAGGAGCGAACTAGTAACAATGGTTTTAAATTAGACAAATTTAGATTTAGGCGCGAAATAGGTAAACACTGGTTTAGAAACAGAGTAGTGGATGAATGGAACAAGTTACCAAATATCATCATTAACTCGAATACGCTAGATAGCTTCAAACATAGGTTGGATGCTTATATGAGCAATAGGGGTTGGGTGTAAATGGGACTGCCCAGTATGGGCCAATAGGCCCGCTGCAGTTTCCTCCATTCTTATGTTCTTATGTTCACACCAGTAACACACACCCTCTACCACACCAGTCACACACACCTTCTACCACACCAGTCACACACACCCTCTACCACACCAGTCACACACACCCGCTACCACACCAGTCACACACACCCTCTACCACACCAGTCACACACACCCTCTACCACACCAGTCACACACACACCCTCTACCACACCAGTCACACACACCCTCTACCACACCAGTCACACACACCCTCTACCACACCAGTCACACACACCTTCTACCACACCAGTCACACACACACCCTCTACCACACCAGTCACACACACACCCTCTACCACACCAGTCACACACACCCTCTACCACACAAAACACTTAAAGAGAGAAAATAGCCCTCATGAGTGTGTGTCTTGATTCCCTGGCCCACTACAGCGCCATCAGGTATGAGTGATGATGCATTCTTGTTCCCTGAGAGATGTGTTTTGTATCCGCTTGTGTTTCCTGTGTCGCTGCTTTCTTTTGTTGTGTGGGTGTGGGTGGGTGTGGGTGGGTGTAGGTGGGTGTGGGTGGGTGGGTGTGTGTTTACTAATGATGACATCCAAAATTCATTCTCTCTCTCTTTCTCTCTCTCCCTCTCTCTCTCTCTCTCTCTCTTACCCTCAACACCGCGCCACCATCCATCTCTACCTCCTTGCCCCCCACACATAGGTCACGTCAGACCATCCTCGTGTTCCCAGGCGCTAGATGCAATATACCACACTGACACTCTACCATCTCCTGCTAATATTGGGGAGATGGGGAGGGTAGACAGACAGAGACAGACAGACAGGCAAACTAACAGAGGGAGAGAAGAAACAAAAACAGAGAGACAAGCAAACACAGCCAGACAGGTAAACTAACATACAGGAAAAAGATACAGACTGACAGACAGATCGAATGTGTTTAATCTAAGCTGTGTGTGTAGGGGTGGGTGAGGATT